CTCTGGGAGAAGTTATTAAGCTAGGGCCTCACATACTTTTTCCCTCCCTGCACTGTGAATGTTTACATGTTATGTGCAATTAAACCATGGCAACATCTAATGTTTGTGTAGTATTATGTTCAGCAGACTGTGTTCTTCTATTGTTGTGACTTAGATGACGTTCAGAGCACATTTTATGCCCAATTCATGCAAAACTCCACGTAATCCCAAGGGGTTCACATACTTTTTCTTGCAACTGTATACTTGAAATGCTACAATTTTGGCCATATTCAATATATTTCAAAATATATTTCAATAGATATATATATACTGCATGTTGAAATGCGTTTTTATTACAAAATATATAAAAAATATTTAACCACTTCCAGACCGGACACTTTCCCCCCCCCCCCCCCCCCCCCCCCCCCCCCCCCCTGACCAGGGCAATTTTCAGCTTTTAGCGCTATCACACTTTGAATGACAATTGCGCGGTCATGCAACACTGTACCCAAATGAATTTTTTACCATTTTTTTGAGACAGATAAAGCTTTATTTTGGTGGTATTTATTCACCACTGGGATTTGTATTTTTTTTGCTATGTAAATGAAATGTCCAAAAATTTTGAAAAAAAAAAAGTGTTTTTTTTATAAAAATTTTGCAAATAAATAATATTTCATCATAAATCTTAGCCAAAATTTATTCCGTTATCTTTTTAGTAAAAAAAAAAAAATCAAAATTAGTTTATAAGCAAAAATTATAATTTTTAAACATTTTTTTTTACATTTTTATTTTATTTTTTTATATTATTATTTTTTTTTTTTTTTTTTTTTACATACTGTCACCCTAGCAGTACAGTGTCACCATGGTGACACTGTACTACTTGTGAGGGGTGATGAAGATTTTTTTTTTCTTTTTTACACTGATTGCTTTTACACCCATATAGGATGTATAAGCAATCATTTCTCTTTCTCTCTGTCTGCATTCTTGCACTCATTGAGAAGAACTGAGTGAGCTGTGATTGGTCACAGCTTGTCACATGGTACAAGGCTTTTGTGAATAGCCTTGTACCATGTGACCTCTGTGATCATTCACAGATTTCACACATAGTAAGCAATGATGTCAGAAGTGACATCTTGCTTACTACTTTGCATGTGATCACTGATTGGCCAATCAGTGATCACATGATCGGGACCTCGTACAGAGGTTCCGTCCGACGATCGGTGTTTCACTGTGTCCGGAGGACACAGCGGGCACCGGATCGCAGTGCTGCGCGCTCCCAGGGAGTGCGCACAAGCAGGGTGCGGGGAGGCCGTTTATATACAACGGCCGGGTCGGGAAGTGGTTAAAAAAATATGCGCCTGGGAGATTTATAGCGCCGGCCCCGCGCTTGCTGGAGTCTGTGAGTAGCACCTGGCGTCGTGTGGAAGTGTTGGAGCGGTTTTTGCATCGAGTTTTAGAGCCATTCTGGACATTTTTTAATCATGTCCCTTTATGCCTTTAAAGTGCACTTTATAAAGAGTTTTGAACAGATAAAACTTTTTTTGACTTTTTTCTGACCTCTGGAACAGATTAATTAGTTTTCAATGCATTTACAATTTTTTTTTAACCTCCCTAGCGGTCTGATGATGTCAGTATTTCTGTGCTCAAAGCGGTACATTATTTTGCATGGAAATATGTTTTTTTTTATTGTAGGCCTGTAATTTTTAGGAATAACTCACTGAAATCTGTCCGAACAAGAGTCTAGTAAACATCCCGGATATGTTACAATTTGAAACACGAAATCATAAATTATAATTTTTAATAAATAATCATAAAAAATAATAATACAATAATAATAAATTTAATTCAATAATATAATCAAACCAAAAACACTGAAATGTGAAATAGAGCGCCAAGTTGGCACATCGCTGAGCTCAGTCGCAGAATCGTTTTCAGTGTCTGATGAGGAATTTCCCCCACCAATCATTATCACTCAATTCTGCAAGTGGTTCAAATTTACTATCGCTGTTCTCTAGCCGGTCTAAAACCGATTTTGACCTAAAGGGACGCTTTTTGGACGCCATGGACGTTTCTCAGTTTCCAGGCAGAAAGAACAGTAAAAATGCAGGCAGGGCGCCGGACAAAGCACTCGGGACACAATGTATGTGAAATGGTTTGATACAGGAATGTTATACGATGTGATTTTAGTGTATTTAGTGAATGTCACTTTTTGTCATTTTCAAATTTCCCGCCATTCCGTCCCCCGTACGTCCCGACGTCGCAGGGGATGGAACCCGGAAGACAGATGCCGGCATCGGCCGGAGGACATTGTTGGGGACACTGCAGGGGGGACATCGCGGGAGCGCAGGACAAGGTAAGTGAAGAAGGGATCCCGGAGCAACGCTGCAGTGTATTCCCGAGTGTAGCTCGGGGGGGGTTACCGCTTGTGGTGCTGAAACTTTACCCCGAGCTACACTCAGGAATACCTTCAGGGAGGCTACATCATGTCCCTTTATGCCTTTAAAGTGCACTTTATAAAGAGTTTTGAACAGATAAAAGACTTTTTTTTAACTTTTTTCTGACCTTCCGGAACGTATTTATTGGTTTTCAATGCATTCCTATGGGAAACCGCGTTTCGGTTTACGAATCTTTCGCAATACAAAACGTCCCGGAGAACGCATTAAATTCGTAAACCGAGGTACCACTGTATTGGATTTTTTTTTAGCAAAGATGGAGCAGAATAAATTTTGGCCTAAATTTATGACAAAATTTGATTTTTTAAATTCTTCTCACTGGATATGTTTCATAACAAAAAGTCAAAAATATTGTTGGGTTTTTTTTTTTTTCAAAATTGTCAGACTTTTTCTGTTTATAATGCAAAAATTTAAAAACGCACAGGCAACCAAATACCACTGAAAGAAAGCTCAATTTTTGGGAAAAAAAGGATGTAAATTTAATTTGGGTGTAGTGTTGCATGACTGCGCAATTGTCAGGTAAAGTAACGCAGTGGCGTATCGCAAAAAAAAGGGCTTGGTCAGGAAGGGGGGGGGGGGCAGTGAAATCCTCTGGAGGGCAAGTGGTTGATTTGAGCAAGGACATTTATGGCGGACAATGGTGGACTTTAACGACACACATTGACACAAATTTGGTCTTGACACCTAAGGAAGGGGGGGAAATAACTTCGGTGACTTCTGGTCAGGAAGGGAGCGAAAATCCCCAGGAGGGCAAGTGGTTGATTTGACATTTATGGTGGACTCAGTGACTTCTGGTCAGGAGGGGGGGGGGGGGGGAATCCTCTGGAGGGCAAGCGGTTGACTTGAGCACGGACATTTATGGTGGACTTTGGTGGACTTTATCGACACACATTGACACAAATATGGTCTTGACATCTAAGCCTCAGTGACTTCTGGTCAGGAAGGGGGGGAAATCCTTTGGAGGGCAAGTGGTTGATTTGACATTTATGGTGGACTCAGTGACTTCTGGTCAGGAAGGGGGGGAGGAAATCCTCAGGAGGGCAAGTGGTTGATTTGACATTTATGGTGGACTCAGTGACTTCTGGTCAGGAAGGGGGGGAGGAAATCCTCAGGAGGGCAAGTGGTTGATTTGACATTTATGGTGGACTCAGTGACTTATGGTTAGGAAGGGGGGGGAAAATCCTCTGGAGGGCAAGCGGTTGATGTGAGCACGGACATTTATGGTGGACTCAGTGACTTCTGGTCAGGAAGGGGGGGAGGAAATCCCCAGGAGGGCAAGTGGTTGATTTGACATTTATGGTGGACTCAGTGACTTATGGTTAGGAAGGGGGGGGAAATCCTCTGGAGGTCAAGTGGTTGATTTGACATTTATAGTGGACTCAGTGACTTCTGGTTAGGAAGGGGGGGGAAATCCTCTGGAGGGCAAGTGGTTGATTTGACATTTATAGTGGACTCAGTGACTTCTGGTTAGGAAGGGGGGGGAATCCTCAGGAGGGCAAGTGGTTGATTTGACATTTATGGTGGACTCAGTGACTTCTGGTCAGGAAGGGGGGGGGGGAATCCTCTGGAGGGCAAACGGTTGATTTGAGCACGGACATTTATGGTGGACTTTATTGACACACATTGACACAAATATTGTCTTGACATCTAAGTCTCAGTGACTTCTGGTCAGGAAGGGGGGGAAATCCTCTGGAGGGCAAGTGGTTGATTTGATATTTATGGTGGACTCAGTGACTTTTGGTTAGGAAGGGGGGGGGGAATCCTCAGGAGGGCAAGCGGTTGATTTGACATTTATGGTGGACTCAGTGGCTTCTGGTCAGGAAGGGGGGGAGGAAATCCTCAGGAGGGGAAGTAGTTGATTTGACATTTATGGTGGACTCAGTGACTTCTGGATAGGAAGGGGGGGGAATCCTCTGGAGGGCAAGCGGTTTTGATTTGAGCACGGACATTTATGGTGGACTTTATCGACACACATTGACACAAATATGGTCTTGACATCTAAGCCTCAGTGACTTCTGGTCAGGAAGGGGGGGGGGGGGAATCTTCTGGAGGGCAAGTTGTTGATTTGACATTTATGGTGGACTTTGGTGGACTTTATCGACACACATTGACACGGTTAAATTTGTGGTCTTGACATCTAAGCTTCAGTGACGTCTGGTCAGGAAGGGGGGGGAAATCCTCTGGAGGTCAAGTGGTTGATTTGAGCACGGACATTTATGGTGGACAATGGTGGACTTTATCGACACACATTGACACAAATTTGGTCTTGACATCAAAGCCTCAGTGACTTCTGGTCAGGAAGGGGGGGAAATCCTCTGGAGGGCAAGTGGTTGATTTGACTTTTATGGTGGACTTTGGTGGACTTTATTGACACACATTGACACTGTTTAATTTTTGGTCTTGACATCTAAGCTTCAATGACTTCTGGTCAGGAAGGGGTAAAAAGTCTTTAAGTAAAAAAACAAACAGACTCTTTTTTAAAATGAATATATATGTACAATATATGTATACTTTAACAAAAAAAGGCTAAAATTTCCTTCATATTTATGACCTGCGCAGCATTTTTTTTTAGACTTGTCCCTTTAGCATAGGTAGCATACTATCTACAGATAAGTCTTTTTGCTGCTTTGCATTCCGTAGGATTTTGTACCCAAACAACGCCATGGCTTCGCTACAAATGCTTTGAACTTTGTGAATGCTTTCAAATGGAAGCACTGTCCGCCAAGCTCTGGAGGTGTTTAGAGCATCCCGAGAGGAGATGACAAAGGTTTGTCCACGTCCCTTTCCACGTGTCATATTATGGATCCAATCCTTAAGTTTTGGGGTAAAAGGCAGCTTGGCAAACTCATAGACCTGCTTGGCCTTCCCCAATGGGTCTTGGACAATGTCCTCATAGCGCAGCAACATGTAGCGCTTATGGAGTTTGCTGGGAATTCCAAACATGGCCGTTTCAAATATTTGTGCTTGGCTCTTACAAACCTTTTCCATCGCTCTGAAGGAAAAATCACTTTTGTTGCCTTTGGTCCCCCTCAGTATAATGTTGGTGTCATGTGACAACATTGAACTCACTTTCATGCGGGACTGATAGACAGCTCGTGGGTCCCGGACCAGGTGGAGGATTTTTAGGTTCAAAGATGGATCTTGAAGCAATGGGTAAAGCACTTTCAGATCAAAAAATCTCACTTCCTTGATCACGATATGATTATAGGTTTTTTTGCACGCTTTTTGAATGGTTTCAAACGGGTACTTGGCGCAAAAAACCTTGCAGCTTAATTGCGGTATGATGTCATTGCGACTAAAGTAGTAACAAGCAGGCGGGGAACATAAGGCCCGGCTAGTCTCCCACTGAAAGAGATTTGACTTATTTTTTTTTGGGGACATATAGGCATCGAACACTGACATGTCACAATGGAATACGGACCTGATCATATCCCGGATTGCCATGTGCAAAATATCAGTGTTGATGTGGCCCATTTTACCCCACACGTGCCAAGCTGGCTCCATCATGTAGAAGACGTCGGGGTGTTGGCTGAAGAGCTGACCGTGAACGAGGAACCGGATCTCCAGGATGATATGATAAGGAGGTGACTCCGTTCTTGTTTGGACGCAACGGGAGGGGGGGGGTGAAATGCAGCTTCATAAGCATCATGAGGAACCCTGCGGTTTGGGCCGCCATCAGTAGGAAAGTAGACAGTTTACTGGCACTGAACTTCCACATAATCATGGCAGAACCTGCAGAGACCAAAGAAAAAAAGGTAATACCAATGCTTGTGTTCCGTTTCATTTCATAGTGAGCCAAAGCCCATTAAAAATTAATCTTTAACCATTTCAGCTCCGGAAGAATTTACCCCCTTCGTGACCAGGCCATTTTTTTGCTATTCAGCACTGCGCTACTTGCGCAGTCATGCAGCACTGTACCCAAATGAAATGAGCTTTCTTTTGGTGGTATTTGATCACCACTGGGATTTTATTTTCTATTATATACATTTCTAAAGAGCGAAAATTTTGAACAAATGGGCTCTACACCCCATCCGATGGCTGATAATTAGGTTTGAAGGATCTGACTGTTACCTAAAAGTTGGGGCGATCTTGTAATCCCAACATGGGGGGCCCCCCTGGTTTACTGGATCCTGTTCTGAGATATGTTATTCAAAACTCAGGGAACATGGTCACAGTAGTACCTCTTTAGGAACCCAAATCCATATGTAAGATGATGTATGATCACCGTGGCATTATATTCTGGTGCGTTTCTTGTTTTCTCATTGTTTTATTTCTGTATTGTTCAAACTTTAATAAAAGGATTGGAAACAAAAAACATTTTAAAAAAATATTTTTTTTTTTACTTTCTGCTATCATATATCCAATAAAAGAAAAATTGAATTTCTTCACAAATATAGACCAAAGTGTTTTTCTGCTATGTCTTTGGTAATAAAAATCCCAATAAGTGTATATTGATTGGTTTGCGTGAAAGTTATAACGTCTACAAATGATAGTATATGCAGTATACTGGAATTTTTTTTTTTTTAAACAACTAATGGCAGTGATCAGCGACCTATAGTGGGACCGTGATAGTGCGGTGGGCAATCTAACACTGACTGATGCTGAGTGGGATCTAACTAAAGGACATCTCCAGTGATCAGTGATCAGTGCTAATACACGGTCAGTGTACTATTGACATTGGCTGGGAAGGGGTTATATATGTGATATTTTACTAAGCAATGTGACAGTTGTTACTCCCTGCTTTGCAGGGAGAAACAAAACAGCACATCACCGCTGTCTGTAGAGAGCCCTTAACCAAAACAAAGCTCTCCCCTGTCATTCGCTCAGCCGATTAGTGGATTGCGGCCATAAATCATTGGCCCGGGACCCACTGATCAGCTTGTACCATTCAAATAAAAATTCCATATTTTTTAAGAATTGGGTCAACAAATTTTTCTGCATTCAACAAAACAGGAAAAAAAAACCCGAATTCAAGCTAAGTCTCATTCTACTTGTAGTCATTGTTAATAGGAAAATGTACTGGGAATGTTCTAACACGGCAGTAAATCCCATTGGCTGACAGTTGGCCATGTTCCATTGTCTATGGTCTAAAACCATCAATCGGTTGTCCGCTGCCATTTTTTTTGTACTGCCCCAGCTCTGTGCTCTGTGCCTGTTGAACCCTTGAAGTCTGAACACGGACACAATGGAAATTAATGACCCGTGAATTTAAGTAATGATTGTTTAGGGCAGAGAACAATGGCCAGAAGCTCGGGCGCCAAAAAGGGTTTGTAATGAGACGCCTGGCAGGGAGACTATATGTCACCTAAAGCCCAACGCCAGGTCATGTTTTTTTTTTAAATGTCTCCCAAGCCGTAATAAAAAAAAAATGAACATTTCTGGCTGCAATACTCATCTTCAGTCCGGAGCTGTCCACCTCAGTACCTGTTCTTTGCAATAAGATGTCTTCAGGCTTTTGGGTTGAATGACACCCAGCGCCAGAGCTCCTGCAACACAGAGCAGCCCGCCCACATGGAAGAAAAATATATTTTTAAATATATTTTTTAAAATATTCTTCCAAAATATATTGACATACAGTATATTTGAAATACTACAATTTTGGCCGTATTCAATATATTTGAATATCTATCTATCTATCTATTATCTATCTATCTATCTATCTATCTATCAATCATCTATCTATTATCTATCTATCTATCTATCAATCATCTATCTATCTATCAATCATCTATCTATCAATCATCTATCTATCAATCATCTATCTATCTATCTATCTATCTATCTATCTATCTATCTATCTATCTATCTATCTATCTATTATCTATCTATATACACTGTATGTTGAAATGCATTTTTTATATATTACAAAATATATGGAAAATATTTTTTTGAAATATATATTTTTGAAATATATTCTTCAGATTTTTTTTAACATATAAAAAAGTAATTTTACCATATATTTGTAAATGCATTCCAAAAATGTAGATTAAATGTATTTTTAAAGACATACAGTATATTTGAAAATGTATTTTTAAAAAATATTATTCATATATTTTGTAATAAAAATGCATAAATGAGCTATATGACCTCTGGAATACTTTCTCCAGACACCTGCAATCTGTGTTATCTACTTCTGAGCCATTAATTATGCATTGCTTACAACCAACCCCTGAACTCTGCATTACTTACCACCGACCCCTGAACTCTGCATTATGTACCACCAACCCCTGAACTCTGCATTATGTACCACCAACCCCTGATCTCTGCATTATGTACCACCGACCCCTGAACTCTGCATTACTTACCACCGACCCCTGAACTCTGCATTACTTACCACCGACCCCTGAACTCTGCATTACTACCACCGAACCCCTGAACTCTGCATTACTTACCACCACCCCTGAACTCTGCATTACTTACCACCGAACCCCTGAACTCTGCATTACTTACCACCAACCCATGAACTCTGCATTACTTACCACCAACCCCTGAGCTCTGCATTACTTACCACCAACCCCTGAACTCTGCATTACTTACCACCAACCCCTGAACTCTGCATTACTTACCACCAACCCCTGAACTCTGCATTATGTACCACCGACCCCTGAACTCTGCATTACTTACCACCAACCCCTGAACTCTGCATTACTTACCACCAACCCCTGAACTCTGCATTACTTACCACCAACCCCTGAACTCTGCATTACTTACCACCAACCCCTGAACTCTGCATTACTTACCACCAACCCCCCCTGAACTCTGCATTACTTACCACCAACCCCTGAGCTCTGCATTACTTACCACCAACCCCTGAACTCTGCATTACTTACCACCAAACCCCTGAACTCTGCATTACTTACCACCAACCCCTGAGCTCTGCATTACTTACCACCAACCCCTGAACTCTGCATTGCTTACCACCAACCCCTGAGCTCTGCATTACTTACCACCAACCCCTGAACTCTGCATTACTTACCACCAACCCCTGAGCTCTGCATTACTTACCACCAACCCCTGAACTCTGCATTGCTTACCACCAACCCCTGAGCTCTGCATTACTTACTACTGACCCTTAAACTTTACACCTTTTTGATGAGGCCTTAGTAAGCTGAAAAAGATTACCCTGGTAATCTTTGCTCTCTTCGATGTTGTTCAGGTAGATCTTCACCCTCTCCAGGGTTACCTACTCCTGCATTAAAGTATATCTATAGGCAAAACCACTATTTTTTTTACTTTGAACTTAGTAGCTGTCAGCTTTTTTGCCATCTTTGCAGACTCAACAGGAATTGAGAGGATATCTTACCAATAATATAGATCTCCTCTTGTCCTTGGAACAAATGGAAGATTTCCCCTCAGTTCCTCCTCTGGAAACAACCCCAACATCACATGGTGATCAGGACAATGAGGACACAGGCAGCAATACAAACCTGACAGGGGTTACTAAACCCCTCACCGCTCTATCCAAACCCCTAAACAAAAGTTTTCCATTTAGATATCAACCACTATCATGGTATCCCTGCATGTAAAGGTGCTAGGTGTAGCCCCTGGATTCTGAACTATCCTTTCAGGCCCAAATCCTGCATTCCTGTCCAAATCATGCCAAATCAACCTCCGCAACATCTCCAGAATACCACCCCCTTCTTAACCAATGATACCACAAAGCTCCAAACTTCACTCCCTGGTAATCTCTCGACTCAACTACTGCAACTCCCTCATTTGCTTACCTTTACATAGGCTATCCCCCCTCCAGTCCATAATAAATACTGCTGCCAGGCTCATCCACCTCACCAACTGTTCAGTGTTCTTCACCCCTCTCTGCTAATCCCTCCACTGGCCTCCACTCCGTGGCCTCCACCCCTCTCTGCTAATCCCTCCACTGGCTTCCACTCAGTGTCCTTCACCCCCAGGGTCTCTGCCAATCCCTCCACTTTGACCTCCATTCAGTGTCCTCCACCCCTCTCTGCCAATCCCTCCACTGACCTCCATTCAGTGTCTGCCACCCCTCTCTGCCAATCCCTCCACTGACCTCCATCCAGTGTCCTCCAAACACCTCTCTGCCAATCCCTCACTGACCTCCACTCAGTTTCCTGCCACCCCTCTCTGCCAATCCCTCCACTGGCTTCCAAACTCAAAAGTGTCCTCCACCCCTCTCTGCCAATCCACTCCACTGACCTCCATTCAGTGTCTGGTGTACCCCTCTCTGCCAATCCCTCCACTGACCTCCATCCAGTGTCCTCCACAACCTCTCTGCCAAATCCCCCAACCTGACCTCCACTCAATTTCACCCCTGGTCTGCCAATCCCTCCACTGTCCTCCATTCAGTGTCCTCCACCCATAATGAATACTGCTGCCAATCCCTCCACTGACCTCCATTCAGTGTCTGCCACCCCTCTCTGCCAATCCCTCCACTGACCTCCTTTCAGTGTCCTCCACCCCTCTCTGCCAATCCCTCCACTGGCTTCCACTCAGTGTCCTCCACCCCTCTCTGCCAATCCCTCCACTGGCCT